GCTATTGGCGCCCTCTTGGGGCGCCTTCTGGGCCGTTTGGAGGCCGTCTTGGGCGTCGTGGAGCGATCTCTCGGCGACTGGGTCGTCCTGGCACGCGATGCGCCACGACGATCCGGGGCTTTGGGGTCCGAGTCTGGGCCTCCGAATTTTCATCCGCCCTGGTCTGGAGGACACCCTGCCTCAGGGCACGCTGGATGATATAGGCGTGTGCATGTATAAATGTGTGTGTGTGTATCTACTTGGTATCGCTCGGACGTGTGCATGTTTTCTCGGCGAGAACCATCGAGGACCATCCTGGACCATCGAGCAAAAAAAACACGCACGAAACCGAAACATGCACGGGGAATGGACGTCCGAGCCATGACAAGTATATAGATGTACAGATGCACACGTGCGCAGCCCGAGGCCGGGCCACCGAGCCCCCGGGCGCCCTTTTTTTGTCAGAGCTGCTTCCCGTGGTGCCCTTTCTCGCCCCAGGGGTCCTCCTCCTCCCCCTCCTCCTCCTCCTCTTCCTCCTCCTCCTCCTCCTCCCTCCTCCCCCTCTCCTCCTCCTCCTCCTCCTCCTCTCTCTCCTCCTCCCATCCTCCTTCTCTCCCTCCTCCTCCCCCCTCCTCCTCCTCCTCCTCCTCCTCCTCCTTCTCTCCCTCCTCCCCTCCCCCTCCTCCTCCTCCTCCTCCTCCTCCTCCTCCTCCTCCCCTTTCTCCTCCTCCTCCTCCTCCTCCTCCTCCTCCTCCTCCTCCTCTCCTCCTCCTCCTCCCCTCCCTCTCCTCCTCCCCCCTCCTCCTCCCTCCTCCTCTCTCCTCCTCCTCATCCCCTCCTCCTCCTCCTCCTCCTCCTCCCTCCCTCCTCCTCTCCTCCTCCTCCTCCTCCTCCTCCTCCTCCTCCTCCTCCTCCTCCTCCTCCTCCTCCTCCTCCTCTCCTCCTCCTCCTTCTCCCCCCTCCTCCTCCTCCTCGTCCTCCTCCTCCTCCTCGTCCTCCTCCTCCTCCTCCTCCTCCTCCTGGAGACCTTTTTAGGGCCCCCTGGGTGCTGCAGCAAGCGCCAACACTCACCGAGCGCGTTCCACTGCTGGGAGAGTGCCTGCTCGCAAACGTCCGAAAAGCACGTGTCCGCTTCGGTGTGATCTGTCGTAGATCTTCTGGGGGGATCCAGGCCACTTGCGAATAGTCACTTTGCGATTAGCGGAACGCGCTCGTCGAAGCACAGCGCTCAGACACCCCAGGGAGAGCCACAATCCGAATCCGTAGCCACGTCTCGGCTCGGGCGATTGTGGCCCAAGACTCGGGCAGACCTTTTTCGTCGGCGTCGGATGCGACACGTTGTGAAGCTGGGACGCTTTGCCAAGAACACGGTGCGCCGAGACATGGGCGACGCACAGAGTCAGAACCGCTGGGGAGGCAAGGCGGCGGAGAGGGGCCGGAAGTTCGTGGTGCCACCGCCATGCCGGAAGTCGCTGACATTTGAATCTGAACCTGTTGCGAACACAATTACTGTGCGTGGCGTTCTGACATCGGACGAATGTAAGTCCGTCATTTCGGCTGCGGAGAGGGCAGGCATGGAGTTGCAGACCAGCCGCGGACCAGCGTTTGGTGAGGCTCATCGTCGGCATCAACGTGCTGCATTCGACGACGTCGAGTATGCCGCGGCGTTATGGGCTTCTGGATTGGATGAGGTGTGTGGAGTGTTGTCTGTGGGCGAGCGAAAGCCTGTGGGACTGAATGCGAACATCCGCATTTATCAGTATGTGCCAGGGGATGTTTTTGGGAAGCATATTGACGGCAGTAACAACGTAGCAGGAGGACGCACTGAGTTTACGCTTCTTGTGTATTTGACGGGAGAAGACGAAGGCTTGGAAGGCGGAGAGACAGCCTTCTACGAGGGAGGTCGCGAGATACTTCGAGTCAATCCTGTTGCTGGGAATGCATTGTTGCATCAGCATGGCGATGCGTGTTTGCTGCATGAGGCGTTGCCTGTTCGAGCGGGCACGAAATGGATATTGCGATCAGATGTGGTTTTTGCTTAGAGCGTGTTCGCAATCCTTGGTGAGGCGAATGAGGTCGTACATCCGCAGGCGTTTGTCGTAGGTTGTACGGATATGAAAACACATTGCAGGAAGAGTCACAAGAGTCCCTTGCACTCCAAGCCGGTCCTATTCATCATCAATATCCATTCGCGCTGGGCTGGGACTGTTCGTAGGCTGCCAATTCTTGCCCACTGCGTCCGAGTTTAGCTCACACGGGTCCGTGGGGCTCCGTGTTTTTTGGCTGTTTGTTTTCCAGATTTTTCATTCGTTTCTTCAAGATGGCTTCACGAGTGCCTCAGAGGAACTCCAGACGGCCCAAAATGCTAGGGTGCCCTTCATGTTGTTTGGAGGGCTCCCTAGATGAGACTAGAAACTAAGCGCGCGCAGAGCGCGCGCGTGGTCGGAGTTCTACCATATGTATGTGTCCCATCCCCATCCATCTAAGTTTGACCTTGCATCGTCTCTCCTCCCTCTACCCCCCTCCTCCATTTTTCTCTTGCCTCCGCCTCTTCCCTCCGCCATCCTTCATTCCCCCACTGTGTCCTCCGTCTCTAGCTTCCTCCGCTTCCTGTCTCCTACTTCCTGCCTTCTCCCTCCAGCTCCCTCCATCGACCCTCCCTCCTATCCACATCCCTAATCCCCCCCTTCCTCCTCGAGGGGGAGGAGGAGGAGGACATGTGATCCGAGTGGTATTGCCACGCTGACAGGCCCCCGCTTCCACAAGGGCCCCGAACATCTCGTTTGTCGACGTGTATGGTGATGAATCATTCCGTTCCGCCTTTGCGTGCACATCTTGGGCGACGGAACAGACCATCGGGCGCCGGGCGCATCCAGCTCTGCCACAGGATCTTGGGAGATGACTTGCATCCTATCCTCCTGTCTGTGTTCGTTCCCCTCCGTGGGCGACGTGTTGTTCTGCCGCGCCTTGCGTGCACGTCTTGGCCGACCGAGGGTGCGTCTACAGTGCCGTTTCTAATACATGCTCCGCGTGCGGATCATGTCTTAAACATGCAGGGATCTAGTATTACAAACAATGATGAGTTCATGCATACATTCATTCAATCCTATGTATAAAAAAACTGCCCTGTATGTTCCAAAGCCATCCATATCCTCTTGCCGACATGTTTTCACAGCAGGGGCAACGAGGTGTTCCGCTTCGCTTTGCGCTGCGGCGGTCGTGCCCTTACGTCTGAACTGCCCCCTCCGAGCGCAGGCATCCCCCACTTCAGCCCCCTAGGAGTTTGTCGAATGGCGGCCCACTCGTTTACCTGGCAGCTCGATCGGTGATCCCCCTCTTGATTCTCCGGGCCCTCGGGGGGCCTCGTCCTCCTCTTCCTCCTTCAGGCTTTCAAGCTGAGATCCGATTCGGGTCGAGCCTCGATGCTCTGCCCTCCCCCCCCCCACGTTGCCAACGCCACGCGGAGTGGCGGAACAGGTAGCTCTTGAAGGGGGAGAGATGGGTGGCGACGCGAGGAGGGAAAGCGGGGCACGACGACATGGCGACGACGGAGGATCCTCTGCTCCCTCCCGCTCTCCTGGCCCTCGGGGGTCGCCACGGCTGGGTGCGGCCCGACAAGGGTCGGGATGGACCCCAGGGGGGGGTCCAGGCGTCAGTCTTGCGGCCCAGACATCCGTCGCCACAGCAGAACATCGCGACGGCCAACTCTTCGTCCGCCCCAGAGCCGTCAAGAGGCGGCCCATGATGACCCCCCAGGGAGAGAGTAGTGGTGATGATGATACTGGTGGTGAAGGTGGAGATGACCATGGTGATGATAGTGTTGATGATACTGCTGATGCTGCTGATGATGACGACGATGTTGATGATGATGATGAGGATGAAGTTGAGGATGCTAATGCTGAAGACGGCGATGATGACTACGGGGAGGATATTCATGAGGATACAATAATGTTCGTACTCTCCTCCGTCAACATCATCATCATCAGCAGCAGCATCATCATTATCATCATCATCAGCATCAGCATCAGCATCAGCATCAGAATCAGCATCATCATCATCATCATCAACATCAGCATCATCATCATCAGCATCATCATCAGCAGCATCATCATCATCGTCGTCAGCATAATCATCATCATCAGCAGCATCATCATCATCATCACCATCAGCATCATCGCCATCATCATCGTCACATTAATCATCATCATCATCAACATCATCATCAGCATCAGCAGCAGCATCATCGGCATCATTAGCATCATCAGCAGCATCAGCGTCATCATCATCATCATTATCATCATCAGCTTCAGCATCACAATTCTCCTCATCATCATCATCAGCAGCAGCATCAGCATCGTGATCATCATCATCGTCATCATCATCAGCATCATCATCATCACCATCATACTCATGATCATTATCATTAGTAGCTTGAGCCATCATCAATATCATCATCATCATCATAATCATGAGCAGCATCCTCATCAGCAGCATCATCATCAGCACCATCAGCATCATCACCATCATCATCATCATCATCATCATCATCGTCAGCATCATCATGTGTTCGTCATCATTGTCATCATATCCTCATCACCAGCATCAGCATCAGCAGCAGCATCAGCATCATCATCACCATCAGCATTATCAGCATTATCATAGTCATAGTTATTGCCATCCTCATCGTCATTGTCATCATCATCAGCATCGTCATCATCACCACCATCACCATCAGTATCATCACCATCATCATGCGCATCAGCATGCTCATCGTCAACAGAGTCAGCATACGCATCATCATCAGCAGCAGCGTCATGATAACCAACATCACCATCATCATCAGCACCATGATCATCAGCAGAAGCAGCGTCCGCATCATCATCGTCATCAGCATCATAATCATCATCAGCATCATCATCATCATCAGTATCATCAGCATTATCATTATCATTATCATTATCATCATTGTTATCATTAGTTTTACCAGCATCAGCATCATCATCATCATCATCATCATCCTC